CTAAATTAATTTGTCTCACTTTTCTTGGGGTTCTTTTCTGTCCACTCAAATTTTCACTCTTTATCAAGCAGCTTTAGCCGTTGTAACGCACAAGCAAAACCAGTAGCTTTCTGGTTTTGTTGCCGAGATACAACGGGACTGAATGTCAGTTGAAATGGCCAAACAAAAGACGCCAAACTCTTTCGCTGAATAATTAACAGATTTTTTTTTCTTTATAAACCTTATTTTGCAGTTTCTTTTATTGATAAGTATATATTGTTTTTTTTCAAACATAAATATAAGACCAAAAAAAAAAAAAGAAAAGTTGAGTATTGCTTTGCAAGTTTGTTCTTCCGGTACATTTGTAGTTATCCTACTTTTGTTTTAAAAATCAAATACCCAATTATATATTTATAGTTTTTTTAGTTGTAATATATTTACAAAGATCATTTTCAGTAAAAAAATTTTACAATCATAATTTACAACAAAAAATTTTTTCAAATTCAATTGCTTTTGTTATTGCTGTTTTTGTTGCTGCTGTTGCCATCACCGTTGTTACTACCGCTTTAATGAGCAGTTATAATCACATCACAACATTAAACTATACATCTCACCAAATCCAAAGTTGTTAAAATAATAAAATGCACAAAGTAAAAATGCAATATAACTTATACAGATATCAAACAACAAACAACTGTGCTTGAATACAATTTTTTTCTATCGTTGATAATCTGTTTGCAAAGTTGAAGATCAAAACTACAGACAATGCGACAAACTTTTTTTTGGCAATAATTCATTTACGGTGCTGTCGTTTCGTTACTGTTTTTTTGGTTCATCGAACGCCAAAGAACAGTATTATGCACTAACTTGAGTGCAAATTTTATCAAGATAAAAATTTTATTTTTGTTAACAAAGTTATTTATTTTTTATCTGTTTAGCAATATGTCGCAATTAAACACTATTTGCCGCTAACATCCAACAAACTATAAAAAATATTAGCCGAAAAATATTGGCCATCATTTAGTGCACAAAAAAAGTAACCAAATTTCAAAACATTAAAATGCTAAATTTAATTGGTAATGTTAATAAAGAAAAGTTTACTGTGTACGATTTAAGATACTATAAAATAGTTTGGCGGTAAAACAGGTGGCGGACAACGCTGACAGTTTTGTGCAGCTCCTGCTACACCAGTGATTCCTTGAATTCCAACTGGCCCCTGAACTCCATCAGGTCCAGTTAAACCGGGATTACCTCTGATTCCTTGTGGTCCATTTGGACCTACACATCCGGTTCTGCCTGGCAAGCCTCTTGGACCTGGTGGTCCTCGAGGACCAGGGGGCCCAATCGGTCCAGGCGCACCGTAAGTAGTCATAATTCCTCCAGGTTTACCTTTAGGACCTCTCGGCCCTGTCAGTCCTCGCTGTCCAGCTGGACCTCTTGCTCCACGTGTTCCTTGTGGCCCTGGCAACCCAGGATTTCCATTTGGTCCTCTGGGCCCGGGTTTACCAGTTGGACCTTTTGGTCCTGGCATACCGGGAGGTCCTTGCGGTGGCAGCTCACATTCGAAACACCACTCGAAAGTGGATGGTGGAAGAATCATTGGTGCATCTGAACCATCTTTACCCGGAGGTCCCTGCTCGCCGTCGGGACCGTCAAGACCGTCTGGACCAGGTGGACCTGACGGCCCTGGAGGTGAATAACCACAACCACAACAAACTTCTGCTTGACGCTTTCGTCGTTGTTCTTGATGTTGCGTTAGAATCTGCACTTATAAAGAAAATATAAGAAGGAAATCATTATGCGCATATTAGCAACCCTGTTGTTTTAGGTACTCTTTGAATGTCCTTCCAACAGTAGAATCAGTTTGTATAATAGGTCGTAGATAAATAATCTTAATTTCATGTGTTGCTTACTAACTGTGAAACACCTGCGGTTAATCAAATAGATTATAATTATCAACTATTGTTTATAATTATCGATTTCTCAAAAAGTATTTCCACGAGAGTAGTTTTAGACGATGCTTTCACACTTATAGCAGACATTAGAACATTAAAATAAACTTATCATTTCCCGCTGCCTTTTAAAAAACACCCGAAATTTGGTGGTGAAATAGGGAGGACAGAACAACAAGGTTTAACTTGGAGCCGGATAAACTGGTCAAATTAGGAAATGTTTGTATAGTCACTTTCTCAGACAGAATTTTTCTTGGGCACTCAAAAACTTTTTATAAATTCAAGTTGGAGAACAATGTGGAAATATAATTTGTAGACAATAAAGAAAAGTAAAAAAAAAAATAAGAAGGAAGATAAGAAATGGTCAAAAAATTATTTTAGCGCTAAATAAACTTTTTTGCTTTTCAACGATTGCTTCTATTAAAGGTAATTTTAGCTGACTGGTCTTTTTTTTTTTTTTTTTTTTTTTTTTTT